CGGCCTGCTTGAATATCTGGGCTACCTGTTCCACCGATCTAGATATTTCATCAAGTTATCTGTTTTGTTGTTTGTTTTAGCACATCACTATGTCTATTGTGCGCACAACCTGTTCAGGCGCGTTTATGAAAAGTTTACAACCTTTCGCTATACGGGATACAAGTAGGTACAATCAGCGTCATCATGGTTGCTGGCGATATGCATTGAAACAAATGATCAGTAATCAAATGTGGATTATCGTCACAATCGATCAAGGTATAAGAAAAGGAAACTTGTAGAAATATTTATGCTGAGAATTCTATGTTTTACCAAAAATATAATGTTGAATAAAGCTTCTGATAATAATAATAATAATAATAATAATAATAATAATAATGCTAATAGGAGCCAGATTACTTTTAAAACTTTTAAAAAAAAGCTGAGGAAATTAAAATCCCACTACTACGAGCACAATGACGTGTATGCACTTCAGAGTATACTTAAATTGATCAACAGAAATGCTTCATCTAAACGTAAGTATTTTATGACTATAGAAAATAAATCCCTACGTATTAAAAGCCCAGAATTATCAATACTTCGGCTTTTTAAATCCCGTGTGAAGTCAAATTCCCTTGGCACGGCTAAATTCTTCATAGTTAATGGAAGCATTTTTGACGACCCTAATATTATTTGCGAAAAATTCAGCAAGCACTTCTCGCAATGCTACAAAACTGGGACTGAAATCTCTATCATTACATTTCCAATGCCGACATCCAGACACCTATCAAAAATTGATTTTATACTCTTCAACATCAAGCAGGCCATAGCTGCCCTGAAAAAGTTATATGATGGTGAACCTGACGGGATCCCTTCATCATTTGTGAAATATGGTAGTAGAGAATTTCCACTATTTTGTTTGAAACTTTTCAACTTATCTATGGAATATGAGACCTATCCATCTGTGTGGAAAACATCCCTTATCACCCCTAGATTCAAAACAGGACCACGTAGTGATATTATTAACTATAGGCCAGTTAATTTGACATCCGCGCTCTCAAGAACCATGGAAAAAATCATCCACAAACAGCTATTATCATTTTTACTTTCGGCTAGTATGATTAGCCCGTCCCGACACGGGTTTATGACTGAACGCTCATGCTTCACATCGCACCTGGAGTTTTTTTATCAAATTACCCAGAGAAGAAATGTTGGTCAGTCAGTGATAATTCTTTACTTCGGTTTTAGTAAGGCTTTCGACAGTGTCTCACACAAACTTCTTCTAAAACTCTCTTCATTTGGCATAAAGAATTCCCTTTTATCTTGGCATAAGTCTTTTTTAGAAGAACGTAGCCAAATCGTGCGCTTTAAATCCTGCTACTCTCAACCTGTGAATGTAGCCAGTGGGGTTATACAAGGAAGTGTGATTGGTCCATCACTCTTTCTCCTTTTTATCAATGATGTTTGCTGTTCCTTTCAGTATGGTAAGCCTTTCCTTTTTCCTGATGACCTAAAATTAGTTTATTCATTCTCTTCTCCCACCAAAGGAAGCGATGTTTCAGCGGTAATCCAAGAATAAATAAACAAGTTATACGGGTGGACTGTTTCGTGGAATTTGCCACTTAATTTTGACAAAAGTGGATTTATTCACATTAGCCGCTGCCTTAACTGGAATCTGATTATACATAAACATACACTGAAACCTGTCAACACTGTTCGTGACTTGGGTTTAAGATATAGAAACAGTCTGAACTTTTCTGAGCACATTGCACTTCGAGTATCCAAAGCTAGAAAGCCCACCGGATCCATAATGATAAACTTCAACAATATCGAATCGAGATTATTATCATACAGAAAATGTATCTTACTCATTCTTGAATATGGTATTTTAGTTTACAGTAATTGCAGGCATAATGACCTGAATAAAATTGAAGGTGTTCAAAGAAGGTTCACCAAAGCTGTTCTGGGGTATTTCAACAACAAAGACTATCACCAGAGATGTCAACATCTCAAATTAGAACCTGTCTGGATCAGACATATGAAATTAAATCTTGTCTTTATCTACCGGTTTATTAACGGTATATCCTACTCTTCGGGATTCACCCCTACTTTATGATATCAACCCCCAATCTACGCAATAAGGAGAATATTCTAGCGATTTCAAGAACCCACACAAACTTACGTCAGAAATGTTTCGTTATTCGCTACTCAGCCTTGTGGAACAGACTGCCAGTAAACCTCTGTTGCAGTGAAACTACAACCCGGTTCAGAAGTCTCCTTGATGATTTTCTTTCCGAAAGTGGATTATGTTACCTATTGAATATCAATGTATTCAATAATGACTTATACAAACAAGGTCCGTCATCCATTTAATTGCCTGAAAAGCAAAATAAAACCTTTAAATCTTTTCACGTCTATCTTGTTTTATTTCTCATTATCTTAATATATGAAATCTGCTTATGTTGTGTTTATCATTATTACCGTTATTAATAACATTATTAGTTCCCTGACACATTAGACATTCTTTTTATCTCTTCTTATCCTTCTAAACATATTTAATTTGCGATTGTCCTTTGAAATTAATTGTGACTTTCATAGCATCATTCTTAATTACTGTTGCACAAATGGTAATACTAATATCAGGTTTTACTCTGTATACTATTACATAAATCTAAATGTATTCATCTGAGTGCACCATAGAATTCTTATTTTATTTTTCTCAATTGCTGGTTTACTCCTGAGGTTGATATTCACTACACAATTATTATTATTATCATGGTTGAACCTTTTCACTAGGTGTCCACTTCTTTGCTCTCTCTTTTTTCCTTCTAAATAAATATTATTCTTAAGATTACGAAGTTTGTAATCAGGACAACAACTTGTGTTACATTTAAATTAACTTCTCAGACTCGTTTTATCTTCATTATGCATATATGACTCATACATATTGATATTACATTATCCTTTTCACTTAATTGAGACCTTCATATCATCACTCCAAACTATGACTGCACAAAAATTTATTTCAGCGTCATATCTTACTGACATAAGTTATTTTTTCTTAATTATTTTCTATTTTATTTTTGTCATTAATTCGACGATGCATACATAGTCGTTTATTCTCGTTCTGTGTTCATAAACACGCATATTAAACTATTTGCGTATTTCACGTCTCCTTTATTTCTGTTACCTTATTTTATTCCTATCCTTCTTTAAACTCAATTCAATATTCTACTCAATTACACAGAACCTGATTTATTATTATTATCCTACTATTACTACTATCTTTTTTCAAATATGGGAAATATAACGCTAACATTATTGAAACTTGTGTATTATTGCATTTTTGAAGAAACTCGAAATGGTTTCTTCACAACACTTATGTACCCATAAGATGTTCGTGAATAATCATTATCATTATTATGTTGTGTCCCGTTAACAAACAGCTTGGCACGCGTTTCAAAAAGGGCAGTGATTTTGTACTTGTGATTATCCCTGCTTTTGCGTCAAAAGCGTTCTTTGTTAACTTTATATTAAAGTACCTTTCTAAAGTTTGCCTTCTGGTACTCTTTCACTCATTGACTGACACGTGCGTTCATATTGTGGTCATATTGTGTTTTAAACCTTAACCTGAATACAGTAGTTGGTAGTAATCATAAATGTGGACAACCAAACTGTTTGTTCCCTGTGGAGGAACGAATGCAATGTGATGAGTGTAAAAAGTGGTTCCATAAGGTGTGTATCCGTTTAAGTCTCACCACATACAAAAGATGCTCGAAGCCTAGCTCGCGTGGGCTTTGCATGTTTTGCTGTGCAAATAAGACGTCACTAATACAGAAGGCCAGGAGCCTATTGGCTTTGGCCCGTAAGAAGAACGATGGCGCATGCGCTGATAACACGAGCACTGCCAGTGACGACTGTGTCGGTGTAGTACGTGCTGTTACGAGACGCCTCAAACAACCGACTTTGATTGATGGAAAAGTGATATCTCCGTTAAGATTAACGAATATTATTGTGAGCGAATCGCTGGAGTCAAACGACCCTGACCCGAAAATTAGGCACGCGCATGATTTAGAGAAGCTAAGAGAATATGTTCGTAGTATCTTAATTGAAAACTGTAAAGAAGTTCAGGTAAAAAACTGGTTAATATATATATATATATATATTAACTAGAAGCATTAGTGGACACATTAAGGTCACTCATTCTAACAGTGACAGAAACTTGGCCTAGTAGTCCTGATGATATTCATCCTAGGACTATGAAAGGCATATCAAATTCAATTGCTGAACCATTAGCAATACTGTTTGACATGTCTCTGAGGCAGTCTAGACCGCCCAGAGTCTGGAAAGACGCTATAATAAGTCCGATGTATAAGGTTGGGAGTAGGGATTTAGTTAGTTACTATAGACCCGTTAGTTTTACTAGTGCGGCTGTGAAACTTATTGAAAAAATCATTCGGATATCTGTTACAAACTATGTTGAGGGGCATAATTTTTTCTCTAGGGAACAACATGGTTTTCGGAGAAGCTTATCATGCTTGACGAATCTCATTGCAAAAGATCGGAATATTCCTGTAGATGTGATCTTCATAGATCTAAGTAAGGCCTTCGATAAGGTTTCCCATTCTGGTCTTAAATTCAAACTGGAAAGTTTTGGAATCACTATACAGTCGTAGATTGGATAAGTAACTTTCTCCATGACAAGAGACAAAGGGTTAGGGTAAATGGGGCTCTCTCCTCGTGGATACCTGTAAAAAGTGGAGTTCCCAAAGGTACGATCCTCGGTCCTCTTTTCTTTTTACTCTATGTAAATGAATTACCAACTATAGCGAAATCATCCGTTCTACTCTTCGCTGATGACATAAAGATTTGGAGGTTCATACACAGTATGTCGGATAGAACAATATTACAGGATGATCTTAGCTCATTAGTGGCAAGGTGGACAGGTGGTCATCATAAGTGAATCCTAATAAGAGTGTGGTGATGCAACTAAATAGCTATGATGATTCGTATCACTATACAATATGTGGATTCGTGCTACCCAAAGTAAGAAACTATAAAGATTTAGGAGTCATAATAAGCAGTGATCTCAAAACTACCAGTCACTGTAAGGCTGCTGCTGCGAAAGGCTATAGGGTATTATGGTTTATTCGCAGGTCTTTCCAGTATTTAGATGATGAAATGCTTAGATTATTATACCTCATTCATGTGCGACCACATTTAGAATATTGAATTCAAGTAGCGAGTCCTTGTTTCAAGTATGATATATACTCGAAAGAGTCCATCGACGAGGTACTAAGATGGTAAACGGTCTATCTGGCCTATCTTATGAAGACAGACTGAGACACCTTAACTTACTTTCTCTATCTTACAGTGGAATACGGGGTGATCAAATATCGGTTTATCGTATACTGAACGATGATCTTGGTATTACCATAACTTATCTTTTGGTTCCATCTAGAATTGATCATTTTAGAGAACACTCAAAGAAAGTTTAAAAACCGAGATAAATCGTTTATATCTGGAGTTTCGTTTCTCGCACCAAGTTGTGAAATACTGGAATTCTCTACCGGAACACGTAATATCAGCAACTTCGGCTGATACATCCAAAACGAGATTAAACCTCCACAGTAATACAAACTGAAAGGAGTAATATCCTTATTACTGAAGACTGAAAACTGATTCATTTGATTCATTTGAATCACTGTTTGACCTACAAAACCAGAGCGCATTTCGTTCGAGATTTGGACTAGTCCCAAGCCTATAAATTCAGAGCGACTAGTTTTTGCTGAGATACAGATACTTTATTTTGCCACTGGTAAAACCAAGTAAGTATTAGTAAAGTGTAAGGTCAAATATGATTTCAAAATATGTGTGGCGGCTTATTTATTTTATGGTGTCCCACACCTTTCACGGGGACATATGTCATATGTTTACACTAAATAAACTTATATTTATAATTCAAGTGCAAATTTAAGTAGTATAACTACGGACAAATCTATTAATTTTGATTTACCATAACTAGGCGCTGATCACTGATTACATGGATTTTTCACGACGAGGTCATATGAGTTTGTCTTAACTAAAGTGTAGTGTGGAGACTATTAATTTGAGTGCTCAAAATCTTAATTTGCTTAAAATGACTTATCAGGTTTCAGCGTTTTAGCTCATCTCTTGTGGCACGTTCAGTTTTTTATAGTTTATGTGGCTGCGAATTTTCGTAATACGCAGCGGCTTTCGTTATTCATTCGTAGTGATTCCATGTTAGCCACTCCTCTTTGAAAGGTCTCGAATTCCTAATTGGAATATCACGGAAGTATTACCTGTATACCTAGGCAGTCAAAATCTCAGGTTTGCTTTGTTAATGTTCATGTGTGGATAACACTGCATGTATTACTCTATCCAAGTTACTATAATCTCAGTGGTTTGAGCTTGTATCACTGGATTTTTTAATCAATGAAACTCAGCTTACCGCATTGCTCTTTAAGCATTGTTCTTTCTTGCTACAGATATTTCTGTTGATCTCACTTTCATTTGAGACTTTGTACATGTCGTAAAGAGAGGTCACATTTTGTACCATAGTTTGTTTAGTTAATATTTATTAAAGAGATTCCATTTTGAGTTGTTGAAGCAGATGATCGAAAATATTGTAGATTACTTACATTAAGATCCAAGAAGCAGCGTCATTTTGCCGAATGCCACAGTAGTTTGTAAAGAACCTAGAAACATATTCTAGTATCGATCTACGAAATTCTGGTTATCCATGTGAGCCATGTCATTGTGTTCTGACATTTCGGTTGGTCAAGTTAGAATACTGCCATGTCTCAGTTTGTCCGCTGGGATAGTATTCTCTCTTAAGAACCTTATAATGCGTATCAAATGTTTATTTGCAAAGTATACTATGCAATCGATCATAGCTAACGTAGAATCTGGTATATATCTGGCAGAACATTTAAATTAACCAATATATTATTTTCTCCGTTTGCAACCTCGTAGTAAATTCCACGGTCACTGAAATTTTAGTTCCCTCTTTTCTATAATCTAAATTTTAAATTTGCTGAACGGACTATATTTCTCATCATCTGTTAATAATCGACATTTTCATGACTGAAAATTTTAATTCTTGTAAATAATCTCTCATTGTACTTTTATAGTAAAAAAATCTTGTTCAAATTTTACCAGGTTATTAAGAAATGTCTGAAGTAAACGAAAGTGAATGTGAAGAATTCTTGAACATTATTAAGTTGTCTTTGGAGGAAGATAAAAGTCATGTTCATGTTGTTGTGATCATCGGAGCCTCTGTAAGAAATACTAGAACGTCTGTTTATAATATATTATAGGGTGACTTGGCAAAGAAAAAAACTTATCCGACTTTATGGTAACCTGATGATTAACTTTGTTACAATCTAGGTGGTTGTTCCGTGATGGTCTTCTTCCCCCTCGAACTTACTTTGTTGGGTTTGCACGGTCTGATATTGGTACCCAGGACATAAGAGCAGAAAGTGAAAAATTTGCCAAGGTAAGATTTCATTTTTACAACCTTATTTACGGAAAATTAACGCCGAAGAGTTTAAATTACTGTTCTTATTTCACTAGCAGACGTTTGCTTCCACCTAAGTTTTCAAAATGACTATCAAGCTCTAGGGCGAAATTCACCTAAATTTAGGTATGCAATTTTTTCTATGTATTAAGTCTGATTTATCCAGGTTGGCATATTTGAGCTAATACCTTCTAACTTCTACTAGAAATCATTGCAATATATTTCTGAAATAGGTTGCCTCGTGAATATGACTTTGATTTATATCTCCCATATTTATATTTCAATACTTTTCTCACTTTATACTTCTCGTCTCATTGATTTCTCTTTATGTTTATGTGAAATGTCGCAACCTGAACCGACCCAGATTCATTCCACGTTGATGACTGACTGATGTACTCGACTTTTATGTTTAATCTTTCGATTAAAAGTATATATGCTGGCCATACTTTTCTAGTCCAATCTAATTTTACGATACTTTCAACTCGGTTCACATATATTATTGATAAATTTCCCGAAGCTGTTCTTGATGGGCACAGTCTTTGCTATATGACTGTCAGCCATTCAGTTTTTATTCCAAACTCGTCCCACTTTTCCAATAGATAAGTAGTATGGTTAGTCAACTCTAAGATGTATCTATTGGTTTGTCGTACACTTGTATATTTAGTTATTGAGACTAATGGTTTATGGTTTTCTGGGGGTAAATATTTTTCACATTATACCTTACCTGGCACATCACTATGACATCTCCATGTGAGTACAATAAAAATGGTGGGATTTTTTCAATTCCTACTTGAAAATGAGTACTCCCTACGTGTTGGCTTGTAACATGTGAATCATTGATCAATGTTAATGGATTCATTTGTAAAATTATTTTTGTAGGAATGGATCATTTTAAGTTCCTTTGAAAAATATCAAAAAATGAACTAGGTAAATTTTATTCTTAAATTTTCAGTGAAATAGAATATCTTTCTAATCCACAACATTTATCGTACACATTGCATTTTTTAAGTTAATTAATTAGTTTTTCGTAGTACTCTACTTTATAAACAACATGTATTTGGTTCCTATCAGCTCTCATCATCTCCATGTCAAAAATATGAAGAATTTTGGGACTGTAATTTTTACTTGAGAGGAGATTATACAAATCCAAAAACATTTGAATTACTAAATAAGTTTATAGAGTCCAAGTGGGAACAATCTGTTAATCGCATATTTTATTATGCTATACCACCATCAGTTTATAAACCTGTTTCATCATCTATCAAAGAATATTGTACTAACAAAAAGTAAGCAATATTTCACTGTTATAATTCTTGAAGTAATTATTATCGGTTCAGTTGTTTTTCGATCTTTTTTCTTCTACAGACAATATGTATGAGAATAATTATTAATTTTTAAAATAAATGAACAAATAGATTATTTTATGACCAAATTGTATTCATGGTTCTTTAAATTACCATTTGGAACTGTTAAATGAGATTTTCATGTTTATAGTAGTTTAACTTTCAATTTATTCTGTTCATCGAGATGACTGTGAAATAAATGAAGATTGGAATTTTAAGCTAAACTTAATAATTTGCATTTTGTCGAGGTCACTGTATTCATATGATTATCGAAAGCCTAAGTTATTAATAACTGACATTATTTTTCTAATTAGTCATATTTGTTCAGAACGTTACCATTCCAAAACCAACTAGGCCTTAACACATCATTGTTTGCATTTTGTTTTATGAACAAACTTATAAATCGAGGTTAATAGAAAATTCCACCTATCTATCTTGTGATTACATTCTGAATTGATTTCAGTATAAGTGATTCAATTTCTAAACTTAAAATTTCATTTAGTTCAGAAAATGTTTGGCTAAAAGCCACGAGTCTGAAAATGTGTTTTCCAAATTACTCTTAATCCTAAAACACTTTAAATACATTGATCTTTCAGAAAGTCAAACGATGCTTAGCAATTAGGCCTGGTAGTCAGGCCTTAATCGATTAAAGAATGAATGACCTACAAGCTTATTTCCTCTAATTGGCTATGATGTTTTGTCATGTTTATTTTGTATTCATATGTTGCATACGAACATGTTATCTGATTATATGGAGAAACTATTCATTTGGCTAGTGGTCTTGTTTCTAATTTCTAATTATTCAGGGGCCTAAGTTAAGTATACGGTCCGTAGGTAGCCATCACTCGGTCACATTATATCATTATGTTCATCTGCTGACTGGCACTGTATTCATCGATATTAATGGTCGAAATTTCATCTAATAAAACCACAGAAAACCTCTTCCATGACATAAAGTTCAGGAGGAATGTGTATTTAAGCATGTCGATATCAACTTCTTAATGTTTCAGCTAGAAGTCCTAATACTTCGCAACATCAAAAATGATCCTTAATCGATAATGATCGGGAAGCAAATTATCATTGGTTTTGCTAATAAAATGCCTAAGTGTATAATACGCTAGCATTTTAGTTGTTATGGTCAAATTCTATCAATAACGACAATAGATAATAAAATTATTTAGCCGATTTTTCCTACTAACATCGGCGAATAATATCTGGGCTTTACTTAACTGCATTACCGAGTTGTTATGATGTGTGTTGATGATGAAAATCTGTCTGTTTCAGAGGAACAAAATTCTTTATCTTAAAGGACTGTAAAATATCTTACAATAAGTGGCGCTTTAAACTGAAACTCCATTTCGATATCACATTCTGAATTTTATGCACTGCTATGAGTCTAGATTGAATTTCTAACTTACACGTGAAATCTTAGATTCCGTTCTTAATGTTCGTTCCAAGTAAATCGGAATGCTGAAGTGACACAATATTCATAGATTATCTGGATTACTGGCACACTGTAGCGTTGAAACACAACAGCACTTTGAATCTTGTCAATTACATTTTGAGGTTACTTGACAATTTAATTTTTTTCAGCCAACAAGTTATATTGATTGATGTATTTTGTCTACTACAATAATACTTTTCCTAACTGAGAATATATACCTTACTCCAAATTAGTTGTGTGATTTATGTAGAGTGAACCGTTGTCAGAGGGCCTTTAATTTAATTATTTATAAATTTATATTTAATTCATTTGGAAAATTCTTTTTTACACCGCTTCTTAATGTTATACTCGTAAATAACAAAATGCCGCTTGGTATTATACTTATTTTTATTGGTTAATTTAATAGTTCAGGTTGCTTTGTTTTCTGTTTTGTAAGGTAATTACCATAAGAAATATGCCTCGTCTTTCGTAGTGGTAGCATCACTTTTCTTTTCAAACATATCTTCAGTTCTTTTTCTCAAAATATTTCTATGGTTCTTTTGGAGTTTATTTCTGTGTTTTTTGTCGTTATCTTTGTCCTTATACCCCATCATTATGTAACAGTCATATAACAAACTGCATTTTTTAAACGTAGTTAACAATAAATGAAACAGTGGTTCATATGTTTTCATGTCTTTCAGTAAGTTACACTCTCATCCTTTTGTAGTGAACACGAACACCAGTAGGGATAATCGAATGTATTTGACGCAAAATTACAGGACATGTTAATAAAATCTAACAATCAAATAGTAAATACGTAATTTGCAAAATGTACATCAATTGTCTTATAATGACTCAGACTTCATTGTTCTTGCATTTTCATACAAATTGCATTCTGTTCCCATTCTTTACTGTTCGATCCTCTTGTCTCTCTGCTGCCAGACATTCTGTTTCTGTATAAAGGATATGACATTATGACTGTTCTCTGAGTTTTTTTAAGTACTATCTTCATCCTGATCAAGTTATGAAAGTGCCCTGTATCAATATTCATTTTGTACTCAGAAAGGAACTAACAACGAATATATCAGAACACTGAAACTTGTGACTTTCATAAATATTAATTTTATGTTGGTACAAATTTCTTAGCCCTGATACGTGGACTCGATTGATCATTGAAAAACCGTTTGGACGAGATTTAGAGTCATTTAATGAATTGAATTCTGAATTAACTAAACTGTTTACAGAAGAACAGATTTATCGAATCGACCATTATTTGGGCAAAGAGATGGTTCAAAATCTACTAATTTTACGGTAAGATTCTTTCTACAGTACTTTATATAATTATTAACTCTCTTATGTTCATTATTTTTTGAGCTCATAGATCCATGAGTAATAATGGTAACACATTTTGCCAGTTGTACTATTATTCAAAAGAAGGAAAAATTAATCTGGAGTGTAAAATAATTCGAAATTTTCTAACAAATACTTATTTGTACTTGTTTATTTTTAATCGGTAAAGAGATTTTATTAAAACATATTTTAAGAGCTAAACATAACAATATGAACATTATGCCTTATGTCAACATATCTTGTAAATCTCAATCAAATTCGATCAACACAAATATGAAATCAGAATTAGTTTTAAATCAGATTCTGTCGATGTCAGTAAATCATCACTCTCTATTATATGTATATAAATACCACTAATGAATGCAGTAGATACCTATATCGTGACGATCAATGAAGTAAACATTACATTATTGTTAGAATGCATTTGATTTAGAGGAATCATTTAAAAGTGTCTAGCTAATAAACCAGTTGGTTGTTTATGCACACTCTTATATTGTTTGACTTTTTTTTCAAGCCTCAATTATCACTAAAAATGATAGAAACTATCCAAACTAATGTTTTGTCTGTATTTTGTATTCAATTTAATTACACATGCGTGTATCATATCGTTATTATGTAAAACTTTTCTGCACGGTCAAAACATTTAATATTTGGAATATACGAACAAGTTCATTTAATGTATCATGTTCAAACAGTTGCATATTTGCATTATTATCTAATATGAATAAACTATAGCAACTCACATGCATTTGAGTTTATTCACATTTAATTTGGTTAAGCCCTTTTGTTAACTTATTTATCGGATAGAGTCATTCGTACAATAACAACTTATCTATGCTATTGTACCTTTATATGTT